CAGTGACATCCTAGAGGAGAGGCAGTTCGAGCTCGCTTTCCTGTCTATTGCCGCTCCCCATCTCTGTTCCATGCTGCTAGACCCTGAGGGTGACCCAGACGCCCTTGACATCCCGATCCCTTGCACCTATGCTGAGGCCACCTCGGGACCCTGGGCCTCTCAATGCATAGCTGCCATGGAGCAGGACATGGCATCTTGGAGATCCACCGGTACCTTCGTCAATTCTGTTCCCCCACCTGGGGTGAACGTTGTCGACGGCTGGTGGCTCTTCGAGGTGAAGCGCCCTCCTGGAGAGCCGCCTGTCTTGTAGGCGCGCTACGTTGCTCGAGGCTTCAGTTAGCATGATGGGGTGGACTTCTTTCAGACCTTCACCCCGACCCCAAAGATGACCACTCTTCGGGCACTACTACACGTAGCATCACAGCGTGACTACGAGCTGCACTCCCTCGACTTCTCTACAACTTTTCTCCAGGGCCGTCTACACGAGCAGGTCTACTTGCGCCGCCCCTAGGGCTTCTCCGGTACCTTTCCCCCTGGCACCAAGTGGCTCCTCCGGCGCCCTGTCTACGGCTTGCGACAGGCACCCCGTGAGTGGCACAACACGCTGCATGCTACACTTGCTGACTTGCAGTTCTTCCCTTCGTCTGCAGACCCCTCGCTCTTCGTCCGTTCCGGCCAGACCCCATTCTACATCCTTGTCTACGTAGACGACCTGGTCTTCGCTACTGCAGACAGAGACGTGCTGGCCTCCATGAAAGCCGAGCTGCTGCGGAGACACACTTGCACTGACCTAGGAGAGCTGCGCTGCTACCTTGGCTTGCAGATCCCCAGGGACAGAGCAGCGCGCACCATCACTCTCCCATAGTCACACTTGGTGAGCCCGGTCCTTCAGAGGTTCGGCCTTCAGTTCTCTTCCGCACAGCCCACCCCTCTGCCAGTAGACCTCAGACTCTCTGACCCAGTCCCGGAGAAGGCTGTAGAACCTAGTGGTCCCGATGCAGACCTGGTGGGTTGCCTCATGTACGTGATGACTTGCAGTTGTCCAGATCTCGCATACCCTCTCAGTATCCTGGCTCCCTTTGTGGCCCCTGGCAGACACCGACCACAGCATTGGTCGGCAGCTAAGAGAGTTTTGCATTATCTAGCAAGTACATCAGGCATGGGGCTAGTGCTAGGAGGACGTAGACTACTGGTCCTTACCGGGCACACAGACGCTTCGTGGGCAGACGACGCCGAGACTCTCAGGTCCTCACAGGGCTACTACTTTAGCCTTGGTGCAGGTGCCATCTCGTGGAGGTCCACGCGCTCCTCGTCTGTTGCCCAGTCTAACTGTGAGGCTGAGATCTACGCTGGTGACATGGCGGCACAGGAGCTCCGCTGGCTGACCTTCTTGCTCACCGACCTGGGTGAGCGGCATAGCTCTGCCCCAGTTCTGTACGCTGACAACAGAACCATGATCCTCCTGTGTCAGGAGCCTTGACTTGAGGGCAGAGCAAAGCACATCCAGCTACGGTACTTCCTCCTGCGTGATCTGCAGCAGCGTCGCCAGGCTGGCGTAGTACACTTGGCCTCTGGTGCCAACACAACTGATATCTTTACTAAGGCGCGTGCGCCTAAAGATTATCAGCCGCACTGTGTACAGCTAGGTCTCGTTCCTGTAGCCTCTCACTTGCTAGGACCTTGATTGTGTACAGACCTTTATATATAAAAACCCAGACTGGCCTTATGGCCTCTTCCCAGTTGCTGGACTAGTAGTGCTGCCCTAGTCTTGCTTTTGCCTTGTCTGTACTCGTTTGACTGGTCTTTAGACCCCTGCCTCAGAGGTTGGACTAGTAGTGCCACCATGAGCTGCTTCTCTCTCACCAGGCACTGCCCCTATCCAGTCTAGGGGGTGTGTCAAACATATCGTATATGTTGTTATAGACTATACAGGGTTTTGCCTTAGGGAGTACAACCCGTTAGGTTATATTCCTGTCTATGTTAGTGTTCTAGTCATTATTTCACTTCAACAATAGGAAAGTAGCGTGATATTTTAGGTGGGAGATATCGACGAGAGAAGAGAGGATGGACTAGGAGAGAGAGGGATACAAGAAGGGGGGTTGTAACCTCTACTGTAGGATCCAGGACTTGCAGTACACCTACCTACCCTATATATATATTAAAATTATGTTGATACGAAGACCAGCCAGTAAGAGCACAAACTCGACAAGAGCAAATCAGGGTGGCACTACTAGTCCGGCCATTGGAAGAGAAGCCAAAAGGCCAGACAAGAAGGTATATATAAAGAGTACACAATCAAGGTCCTAGCAATTGGGGAGCTACAAGAACTAGACAAAGCTGTAAACAATGTCGCTGATGATCTTTAGGCGCAAGCGTCTTAGTAAAGATATCAATTGTGTTGGCACTGGAGGCCAAGTGTACTACGCGGGCCTGGCGGCGCTGCTGTAGCTTCTGCAGGAGGAAGTACCGCAGCTGGATGTGCTTTGCTCTGCCCTCGAGTCGAGGATCCTGACACAGGAGGATCATGGCCCTGTTGTCAGCGTACAGGACTGGAGCAGAGCTGGGCCGCTCACCTATGTCAGTGAGCAAGAAATTCAGCCAGCGGAGTTCCTGTGCCGCCATGGCACCGGCATAGATCTCAACCTCACAGCTAGACTGGGCAACAGATTACGAGTGCGTGGACCTCCACGAGATGGCATCTGAACCAAGGCTAAAGCAGTAGCCGTGGGAGGACCTGAGTGTCTCAACATCATCTGCCTATGAAGCGTCGGTGTGCCTAGTAAGGATCACTGGCCTGCGTCCTCCTAGCACGAGTCTCATGCCCGGTGTACTTGCTAGATAACACAAAACCTTCTTAGCGGCCGACCAATGCTGTGGCCTGTATCTGCCTGACACCACAAAGCGAGCCACGATGCTGAGAGGGTATGCAAGATCTGGACGAGTGCAAGTCATCAGGTACATAAGGCAACCCACCAGCTCTACGTAAGGACCACTGGGCTCTACTGACTCCTTTGGAACTGGAGCAGAGAGCCTGTGGTCTCTCGCAGAGGTGTGGGCGGTGCAGAGGAGAACTGAAAACCGAACCTCTAAAGGACCTGGCGCACCAATTGTGACTGTGTGATAGTGATGGTGCGCGCTGCTCTGTCCCCGGAGATCTGCAGGTCAAGGTTGTGGCGCAACTCTCCTTGGTCAGTGCAGGTGTGTCTCCTCAGCAGCTCAGCCTTCACGGTGGCTAGTGCGTCTCTGTCTACATGCAAAGACCAGATCGTCTACATAGATAAGGATGTAGAACGGGGTCTTGCCAGCACGAACGAAAAGCGAGGGGTCTGTAGATGACGGGAAGAACTGCAAGTCAGTAGTACACAGAGTGTCATGCCACTCACGAAGCGCCTGTCGCAGGCCGTAGACCGGGCGCCGGAGGAACCACTGGGTCCCAGGAGGGAAGGTACCGGTGAAGCCCTGTGGATTGCATAGGTAGACCTGCTCGTGTAGGCTGCCCTGAAGAAAAGCAATGGAGAAGTCGACGTAGTGTAGCTCGTAGTCACGTTGTGGTGGTACGTGTAGCAGTGCCTGAAGAGTAGTCATATTCGGTGTAGGGGCGAATGTATGAAAGAAGTCCACACCCTCGCGCTGACAAGTGCCTCTAGCCACGTAGCGCGCCTTGAACACATGCGGCTCTCCAGGGGGGCGCTTCACCCAAGAGCCACCGGCAATCGTTATGTTCACCTCAGGTGGTGGAACTGCGTCGATGTTGGTGCCGGTGGATCTCCAAGATGCCATCTCTTGCTCCATGGCCGCTATCCACTGAGAGGCCCAGGGTCCCGAGGTCCCCTCAGCATAAGTGCGAGAAGTTGGGATGTCAAGGATGTATGGGTCACCCCCAGGGACTAGCAGTATGGAACGGAGATGGGGAGCGGCCTCAGACAGTAACGCGAGCTCGTACTGCCTATCCTCTAGGAAGTCACTACTAAGGGCAGGAGCACCCCCGATGGACGGAGGACGGACAGGGTCAGAGACCAGAGCGGTGGCATAGTCAAAGCGGCGGGTAGAGGCAAGAGAGTTAAGATGTAGACAGGTACAGAGGGGTCGGTATCAAGGGAGGCAAGGACCCGAGGAAGGAGAGGACGAGCGACGCAAAGATTGTGAGATAGAGGAGGCGGAGCAACAATGAGCGATGACGGAGGAGGCAAGGGGAGGAGGGGAGGACGAGACACGTGGGAACCAAGCAACATGGGATGAGAGCGCTGGACAGGAGAGACAGGACTAGTGCAAGAGGGACGGTGAGACCAGATGCGGGACGGAGGCATCGGGTCAGGAGACATATGAGGGGGGAAACGAGCCGGGGACGAGTCCGGCGCAAGAAACATAGGGCCATAGGTAGGAAGGGGTGGAGGCGGCAGGGGAGGCGTAGGCGGGTGGTCACGGTTGGGAAGGCCGAGCAGGCGAAGAGCGGACACCGGCGGCGACTGCTGCTGTTGCTGCTCCACGCCGACACCTGGACCTCCAGCTGCACCACGGCTACCTCTGGAACACTCCACTCCAGCACCCCCAGAACGAGCACCCCCAGAACGAGAACCCTCTCCAGTACCGGCGCCACCCCCAGGACCGCCAGGACAAGCCACGACAGGAATCCCAAGACTAGCACCCTCCTCAACGCTGTTGCGGCTGCGACGACGGCTGCAGCTGCTGCTGCGGCGGCGACGCCGGTGGCTACTACGACGGTGGAGGAGACATTGAGGGAGCAACAGGCGGCGAGAAACGCGCCGCGGGGCCACCTGAGTCAGCTGACTCCTCGATTGGGACAACCGACGGGAGGGGAGTGACGTGAGACACACTAGACAAAGCAGGATGGGGAGGGAGGGGAGAAGGGGCTATCTGTGGAGTGGGAACCAGAAACAGAGGCAGGAAAACCAGGAGACCTCGGTGGGGAAAGCGCTGGTAAAAGGAGACATACTCATCGAAAATGACGTCACCAGAGTGATAGAAGCAGTGAGACGGAGGGTGGTAAAGTGCCAGTCAGACAAGTCAAGGGGAAAACTGAGGAAGACACACGGGACAGTGGGGGCAGTGAACTTGTCTGTGCCAGAGACACGAACGTGAGCAAGGCAGCCCCAGACGTGGAACGCGGAAGCGTCACTAGGGAACCTGGTCCAAAGAAGGGTCAGCGAAACCTGCGGCCGCTGGGAGTGCGGCCACAGGTTAAGCTGGTGAGCGGCGTAGCGAACGGCGAATGGCCACAGAAATGGGGTGCACCGGCATGGATCATGGAGGTACAAGCCACCTCTATGACCAAACCAATGCGTCACTCAGTGACCCCATTCAGCTGCGGATTGTCCAGTAGGGTGTATGACTGGGTGATGCCCTCCGCACGACAGAATTGTCACAGGATCGAATGTGTCGAGGAAAAGTTGCACTATAGATTGATACAAGGCGCTTTTATACTTCCGAGGTACATCAGGTAACCAGGTTTATCCTATCCAAAGGGAATATACCCTTCTAGAAATTGAATCACCCTGCGTATAGCCATGCGAGGCTATTGGCTTTAAGGAATTACGGCAAGATTACGCTAGATATAGCACGCCAGTACATCCCGAGCCTGGTCGGTGATATAATTATAATAATAGGATAACCCAAAGGACAATGAGAAAGGAGGAATACAAAACCAAATGGGATGTGATAAAGATCAAATGAATTAGGATAATTAGAAGAATGACATAGAGTAAAAAGATGGAAATGAGAAAGAAGTGTAACGGGGTCATACTCTCACAGCTAAGAGAACCCGAGGGAACCACTGGATAGGGAAGGGTAGTGTAGCTACGGGCAATGACAAGACTAGAGGAGGGGTCAGCAAGGGCGACAGCGGCAGGCGCTGCAAGCAGCGTGAGTGTGTCGTGGTCGCGAAAAGACCATGCAGACGCACTAGAGTCAAGTAGGAAGGACAACGAAATAGAAGCTGCGGCCGGAGGAGGAGCGAGCGTGGAGCCTAGTCTAGACAAAATCTGATCAATGTCTAACTCAAAGACAGGCATACTGTGGTGCAGCAGATTGGGCCAGTCAGGGAGGTCAGGGGCCGGGCCGAAGCGGTGATGAAAGAGGTCATCGAGGCGGCGGAAGCAGCGGGCGGTCGGGTGCGGGCGACGACACACAGTGCCGCGGAGGGGGCTGATTTGGAGCTGGTACTGGCAGCTCACAGCACCGAAGCAGCTGGCCGACGCCGAGCTGCGAGGACCGCCACCGCGGCCACCACCTCCAGAGGCTCCTGGACACCCCGGCGGGAGGCGGGCCCACGACTGCTGCTGCTGCTGCTGCGGTTGCTGCTGCTGCTGCGACGGCTACTGCTGCGGCTGCTGCTGCGACGGCTGCTGCTGCGGCTGCTGCTGCGACGGCTGCTGCTGCGGCTGCTGCAGCTGCTGCTGCACCTGGGCACCAGCCCCGATCCCCTCATCAGACCCACTGTCCCCGCCACCACCACCACCACCACCACCACCACCACCACCACCACCACCCCCACCACCCCTGACAATGGTGGGGAGTTCATTGGAGCTGATTTTGAGGGGGAGTTGAAGAGGAAGGGGATCCAACATCAACTGACAGTGCCCTACAACCCGCAGCAGAATGGCGTGGCTGAGAGGTTCAACAGGACCCTGCAGGAGGGGGCACGCACTCTCCTTGGGCGTGCAGGGCTGCCTGATCCGTTTTGGGTGTCTGCACTGAGGCAGGTCGCCCTTGTGAAGAACAGGGTGCTGGCTACAGTTGGAGATAAGGAGTGGATCCCATATGTCAAGTGGTATGGGAGTGCTCCAGCTGTGAATATGCTGAGGGCATTTGGGTGCATGGTAGTGTTTCATGTGCCTAAGGAGAAAAGGGGGAAGTTGGAGGCTTCTGGAAGATGGGGTGTGCACTTGGGGATTGCAAAGGATCACAAGGGGTGGCTGCTATGGGACTTGACCACCCAGAAGTTGACAGTGTCAAGGGATGTGAAGTTTCTTGAGTCCCTGTACTACAAGGAATGGAAGCAGCAGCAACAGAAGCTTCCATCTACACCGCTCATTGTGGAGGCGGATGAGGTGCAGCGGCCTTCAAGACAGGTAGAGGTTGCAGTGTCAGAGGAGGAGATGTCTGGGGTGACTGAGGAAGGGGGAGCAGCTGAAGTAGAGCAGCAGCAGCAGCAGCAGCATGAGTCTCCATCTCGAGTTCCACACCCGCCTGAGCGACCTAGGAGGGATGTGCGCCCTCCGGTGAGGCTGACCTATGGGGGAAGAGGCAAGCCGAATGTGGTGCAGGCTGGGAGTGTGGTTGAGCAGATTGAGGAAGATGAGATCGCTCACTGCTACTGGGCACCAATCCCTGAGCCCAAGACTCGAGAGGAGGCCTTGAATGGACCAAATGGGGAGAAGTGGAAGGCGAGTGAGGATGAGGAGTTTGGGTCCCTGATTGAGAACGAGACATGGGACCTGTGTGACTTGCCTCCTGGAAAGAAGGCAATCACTTCCAAGATGATCTACAGGCACAAGTATGGACCTGAAGGGGAGCTGACCCGATACAAGTCTAGGCTTGTGGCACGGGGGTTTCAGCAGACAAAAGGGAAGGACTATGATGAGGTATTTGCTCCTGTGGGGAAAGGAACAACACTGAGGGTGCTGTTGGCGATAGCTGCACTCCTGGGATGGAAGATACGGCAGATGGACATTGTGACTGCCTTTCTGAATGGGATCATTCTGGAGGAGGTGTACATGAAGCAGCCAGAGGGGCTGGATGATGGGAGCGGCAGGGTCTGCAGGCTGAAGAAGGCAATCTATGGCCTTAAGCAGGCGCCTCGTGCATGGTATCACAAGTTGGAGGAGGCGCTGGTGGCTGGGGGTTTCAAGAAGAGTGAGTGTGACCCCAGCCTGTTCCTGCTGCAGGAGAAGGACGAAATCCTCATGCTCTTGGTGTATATGGATGATATCCTTCTCTTTTCTGCATCCACTGCTTTGCTGGACAGCGCAGAGCAGATGCTGGAGATGCAGTTCAAGTGCTCCAAGATGGGTGAGGTGAAGTACTACTTGGGGATGCACGTGGAGAGAGATGTGGAAAAGGGTGTGCTGAGGTTGCACCAGAGGAAGTACTGTGAGGGGCTGGCTGAGAAGTATGGGCTGCAAGATGGGGGAAAGCCAGCAACACCACTACCTTCAGGGTTTACTGTGGAGCCATGTGCTGATGAGGAGGTAGTGGGTGAGAGTGACAGGAAGCTGTTTCATTCGATGGTTGGGTCGCTGAATTATGCTGCAAATCATACACGGCCTGACATTGCATTTTCTACATCACGGTTGGCTAGTGTGGTCTCACGCCCTAGTCATGAGCAGCTGGAAGCGGCCAAGAGGTTGGTCCGCTATGTGAGTGCTACGGCATCAGTGGGATTGGAGTACAGTGGAGTGAGGCAGCGGTTGCAGAGAGGTGCTGCAGATGTGAAGAGTGGTGAGATGCTCTTGAGTTGCTATACTGACGCTAGCTTCAACTCAGTGAAAGCGGATGGCACCAGCATTGGGGGTTATGTGTGCTTGCTAGGAGGTGGTGCTGTGAGCTGGCGCAGCAAGAAGCAGAATGAGGTGGGATTGTCCTCATGTGAGACTGAGTACATGGCCTTACACCATGGGGCCAAGGAAGTAGTGTGGCTAAGGCGTTTGTTGGAGGAGTTGGGAGTTGGTCAGGAGGAGCCGACAGTTGTGTTCTGTGACAATGAGTCTGCTGTGAAGCTCGCCAAGAATGCTTGTCTGCATGGGCTGACAAAACACATAAGGCCTAAGTGGCACTGGGTGAGGAGACTCCTTGATAAGGAGGTGCGGCTGGAGATAGTGAAGACCCATCAGCAGGCAGCAGATATTTTCACCAAGCGTCTGGCGGAGGCGGATCATTGGAAGGGCATGAAGCTTGCTGGGATGAGTGTGCATTGAGTATGCATGCTTGAGATGTTGGTATGGTGGTTGATGGTTGGCAGCCAGAGGGGGAGATTGTTGTGTGATGTCATCATATGTTATCACATTCTGTCTGCCTCCCATCCCTTGTTTCAATTCGCACGTATGGTTTGACTGTGTGTGAAAGAATTTGTGTGGTGTGTGTTCTGGAGTTTGGGAATGTGTTTTGTGTTATTCTGTCTGAGCAGGTATTTGTGATGATAGATCTTGAGAAGATCTTTCCGACGCAACAAGAATCGCGTCAATCGGAGCAAGAACGCGAAAGCTATGAAGATTCAAAGTTCATGAGCTTGCGTTACAATTGCGGCGGTTACAAAGTGAAGTTGTGGGGTGACTTTATATGGAGTTGGGACCTTTGGGGTTGGGGAAATTCGTCACTCTACTGTAACAGCTGCAAATTGGTTGGGAACAACCAAGCTAGGTTGGCAAGGGTGGCCAACTTGGATGGATTGGTTGGGAAGGGACAAATGTCAAAGTTGGGGTTCCTATAGGGAGGGAATCTTTGTGCTTATGGGGTTTCCTTGGTTGGGGACTCTCTTGGGACCTTCCCTCTCATCCCTCTCTTCTATCCCAACCTTTCTCTTGCTCCTCTAATTCCTTGTGAGATTCTTGAACTTTGATTGAACTCTTGAGATTGAGTTAAGTTCTCCTCCTACAGCTTACCCCCTAGTGCGTCGAAAGCCATAGCGTCGCGAATACTTCATCAATCAACGTGATTCAAATTGGGAACGGTAGCTGAGATCAAGAGCTACAACATATCCAAGTTTCGCGACATTCCAACGGCTAGTGTTTTGTCGACGTCGTTTCTTGTGAAGACGACTTTTCTGTCCAGAATTTCGGATTTATATTTTGAGTAATTCTAGCTCCTAAGTTCACCTAGACTCTGTCCTTAATCCTAACACACACGCAGCCCCACAAATTTTGGCTAAGTCCCTTACTGTGAGATACATTCCTCTACACACCCCTCGCAGCCTGGTTTTTCTGGCGAATTCCAACACAGCCTGATCATAACAAGGCTTGCCATAAATCGTCGAATGGGTTGCGTATGTCCACATTTTTTCATTTTTTTCACACAATTTAAACTCGCATTCCCCCCCTCGCTTTTTTTCTTTTCAATCGGACTGTGCACTACAAATTTTGTGAGTCGATACTGGAATATCTTTCAAACGAGTAACAGTACAAACTACATCAATAATATAGTTTTATATAAAACAAGTGTTGTATTGCTGTATTGGAGTAGTAACTGTACTGACCTGTCAAAAGTGGAGAATGGCACAGCGAGTAACTGTGCTGAGCTGTACTTGGTTAGCTTTCTGGGGCAGAGCGAATGCACCTAGGGTTGTTGGTGCTTCTTGTTTTTGCTCGTCCTTCCGTCTTGATGTACTGCACCTAGTTCTTGCACTTTCGTTTGTGCCTTGTTCTTGTCGTATAGGTAGTCCTTGCCCAATCCTAGTCCTTGCTCACGCTTAGTCCTTGCTCACACTTAGTTCCTTGTTCATACCCAGTCCTAGCTCGAAACTAGCTCTTTTCCCCAACCTTGCCTAGCTGCCACTTAGGCCATACCAGTTGCCGCCTGGTTGCATGTTGCTGGCGAGGAGCCCGTAACCCGTCTCGCGCGAGAGCCTTGCGCGCTGGCGCGTTACGCGCTGGTGCCTTCCGCTGGCGCATTTCGCGGTGGCGACTGTTGGTGCAACCCTATGGCTTGCACTCGGCTTGTCGTCCTTGTTTGTGTGTGTGCATGCATGGCATGGAATGAATTGTGAGTCTATGTCATTGCTATCCAGTGCTTGTGTGTGTGTTTGAATGGTGTATCACAATGTGGTTTGTGTCGGTCAAGACATTAGCGAGTTTCTACAACTCGCATGTCAAGTCGTCGTTTGTGTGTCGCATGTGTTTTTTCTATTTTGTCGAGTGTGAAGTGTCCATCGTGTCGCGGGTGTGTGCAGCAAGCCCCCATCAACTCAAGAAGAATTTATCTTGCAGATCCAAGAACAAGAGCTCAAGATTTCAAGCCCAAGGGACGCGGATAAATATTAAATAGTGAAAATAGTAACGTTACTTCGTGTAGTGTTACATTTCACTTGGTGTAGCCCCTTGGAGGGTTGGTTTCGAGACTCTTCATGGTTGGGGACTCTGTGGTGGTGTACCACCAACCTGGACCTCGGCTCTTGGGGTATGTAGAGGCTGGGAACCATCTCCCTCTCGAACTCTTCTTCCTAAGTTTCTACTCCTAAGACTATAGTGGCTGCTATACCTCCTGCCAGTAAAACCGCCATAGCGTCGTCAAATCTTCATGGAATTTCATGATTCAACTTGCTGCTGATAGACAACAACAACGCGCTTTAGATCCATCTTACAGATCACCGTTTGATTCAGCGAGCAGATCGTTATGGATATTTGAAGCCGTCTAACGGAAATCCGACTGTGCTCTCTATCTCTCATTATAGGCACATCTAAGCCTATTGTGATTATAACAGCGACTTGCGCGTTGGCGCCTTGCGCGTTGGCGCGTTTCGCACTGGCTCAGTTTGCGCTGGTGCCTGGTGCGCTGACGCGTTATGCGCTGACGCCTTGCGTGCTGGCGTGTTACGCGCTGGTGCGTTTTGCGCTGGCGCCTTGCTCGCTGGCACGTTTTGCGCTGGTGAGTTCCCCGCTGGCGCCTGGCGCTCTGGCACATTATGCGCAGGCGCCTTGCGCACTGGCGTCGTGCGCGTAGGCGCGTTTCACGCTGGCGCCGTGTGCGCAGGCACGTTTCGCGCTGGCACCGTGCGCGTAGGCGCCGTACGGGCAGGCGCCTTGCGTGCTGGCGCTGTGCGTGCAGGCCCGTTTCGCACTGGCGTGGTGCGCGCTGGCGCGGTGCGTGCTGGCACCGTGCGTGCTGGCGTGGTGCTCGCTGGCGTCGTGCACACAGGCGCCTTGCGCACTGGCGCCGTACGCGATGGCGCGTTTCGTGCTGGCGCCGTATGCGCAGGCGCCTTGCGCGCTTGCACGTTTCACGCTGGCGCCGTGCGTAATGGCGCGTTTCGCGCTGGCGCCTCGCGCGCTGACGCCATGTCTTTGGGGTCATGTGCGCACATGGCGCTGTGTGAGAAAGTGGGAGGAAGAAATGGGAGGATGAAGTGTACGTGCGACAACACTGCAGGTGAGCGAGCATACCGCTGACTACCGGTGAGAGTCGCTGCAGCTAGGCGTACCTCCCCTCGCTATCCCTCAGTTAGTCCACTCGATGGTTTCACACTTGCTCTTAGCAATGTTGATGTTAGTTCGCTTTCTGCTTAAACACCCCTTACTATCACACTTGCTGTGCCGCACTTGCTGATGGCACACAAAATGTTTGTTTATTACCGTAATATTTGCTTGCGCATTTGCCGTTTTCAGTCCACCTTCTGCTAGCGCACTTAGAGCAAGCTTACTAGTCTCGAGCTCAATTGCTATGCGCTGGCGCTGTGCTCTCGACGTTCTTCCACCGTCAGTTCTTTCCCTCTCCAGATTCCATCGTTCGATCTTCTTCCATGTCTTCCCCCTTCTGACTTCCCCCCTCCGTTCCTCCCCCTTTGCCACCCCCCCCCCCCATTCCTCCTCCCTTGTCGTCCTCTCCGTTCCCTCCCCTTTGTCGTCCCCCTCTGTCCCTCCCCCTTTGTCGTCCCCCCTCCGCCCCTCCCCGTTTGTCGTCCCCACTCCGTTCCTCCCCTTTTGTCGTCCCCCCTCCGTTTCCCCCACTTTGTCATCCCTCCTCCATCCCTCCCCCCTTTGTCGTCCCCCCTCCGTTCCTTCTCTTTTGTCGTCCTCCCTCCGTTCCCCCTCCTTTGTCGTCCCCCCTCCATCCAGCCCTTTGTCGTCCCCCCTCCGCCCCCCCCCCCCCCCCCCCCCTTTGCCGTCCCCCCTCTGTTCCTCCCCCTTTGCTGTCCCCCCTCGTCCCTCCCCCTTTGTCGCCCCCCCTCTGCTCCTCCCCCTTTGTCGTCCCCCCTCCGTTCCTCCCCCTTAGCTGTCCCACCTCCGTTCCTCCCCCTTGTTGCCCCCCTTCCGTTCCTCCCCCTTTGTCATCCCCCCTACGTTTCCCCCCCTTTGTTGTCCCCCCTTGTTGTCCCCCATCTGTTCCTCCCCCTTTGTCGTCCCCTCTCCGTTCCTCCCCCTTTGCTGTCCCCCCTCTGTTCCTCCCCCTTTGTCGTCCCCCCACCCTTCCCCCCCCTTTGTCGTCCCCCCTTTGTTTCTCCCCCTTTGTCTTCCTACCTAATCGCTCTAGTTGATCTCTCGCTGCTAGTGTGTCAAGCTCTTCCCTCCTATTTTCTCCCCCTGTTATCCTCTCCAGTCATGTCATCACATTCAGGGTTGCCACATTCCAAGAACATTCCAAGTCGTCGAGGTTCAAGTCATCACGTTCCAAATATTCTCACTCCAAATCCGGTCAATCCTGTTGGCACCATTTGATTGATAGATACTTCAAGTTGATTTTTGGTCATGTTTTCTAATACCCATTATATTTTCGTGTTTGACTTGCGTGCATTTGCATTGTTGTTTTTTGTTTTGGTTTTTCATGTCATATTGCTTGTGTATGTGTGTGTGCATGGTACCATTGGTTGACAGTGCGTATCAGTTTGTTGGCTTGTGTTGCACGGTATTGCGTTGTGTTGTGCTTGCAGGGGAAGGATGCTGACTATGCCTAGTGCATCACACAATTTGCGATTGTCGTTGCTGGTTTGAGGAATTGCTTCTCACTCCGTGCATGTCAATCTCTATTGTAGCATGAAAGCATTGATGCATTTCTTTCTTTGAAATCACTATTGCACCGTTATTTGTTTGTTAACACGTGTTGTACATTGTTGTGTATTGTGTGTACGTGTAGGAGAACGATGCTGACTATGCCTAGTGCATCATACAATATGCGATTGTCGTTGCCGATTTGGGAGTTTCTTCACATAACGTACATGTCAATCTCTATTGTGGCACGAACGCATTGATGCATTTGTTTTACTGCATTCGCGATCGTTTTGTTGTATTGTGTTGTTGTTGAGCCGAGCTGTTGCATGTATGTGTGTATGTGTTGATCAGTTGTGTTGTACATGCTTTGAATATGGTGGTGATGTTGTTGTGTTTCCTATCATTATCCGCCGTACTTATCGACGACGAATGGTTCGAGCCTCTCTCATCATTGTTAGAAAGTTAAGAAGACCGTTACGAAACTCCATATTGCTCAACTATTATGTTGTCATCATTATCGACCACATTATAGCTGGAAAACATAGATTTTTGTTATGCCAGGTATAAGGAATCAACAACAAACAAACGATACTTAGATATTCTCTATCGGAGAACGCAACATTCAGATTATAGATAACCAATGAAAATTTGTGTCGTTAGAGTGAGCGACGCATTAGACCCAGAAAAATATGTAGCGCGGGATATTACACTGACTAATAAAGCCGTCCGAAATAGGTCCACCGACCGATTGTAAAAGGTTGCTACAAAACCCAAAAGTTGGGCTAAAGGCCATCCCACAACCTCTACCCTGTATTTAAGAACACCATAAAGTATGTTACGATTGTAGTTTGGGAGAATATAAAAAACAATCAGGCATGGCATAAAATTAGCCTGTTTCTGCCCGTCACCCAGCTTGACTGGATGGGGGGCAGGGTGAACCCT